AGACAATACATTTGATTTGACCTATAATCGGTATGACTTGTTACAATAAACTCTGGGTATTCGGGGTTGCTTTTGCCTTGGCTTATAACTTGGATGCAAAATCAATCCACCAAGGCAATAGCCTTTAGGCACAAAATAAGCATGAAGAGCAAGGCGAGGTATGGATTACTCACAGTACCTAATTTGCATGTGAAATATGCAGAATATCAACAGTAAAATTCATATGCTGATCCATGTCCTTTCAGGCTGTTGACAGCCCACAACCAATTGTGCAACTCTGGTACCAGTGCTCTTCTGAAAGAGCAAGCCCAGGAATCCCATTTTATCAGAGTAGATCAGTAACTACAGCAGCTGCAAGGTAACCTCCAGCAGCATTCCCACGTCTACCTGCGGTTGCTGTTGAAAGCAATCTGATTGCTGATAGTAGCTGCACTGACATAAAATTGTTAACTCATAAGACTTTTAGGAGGTTTAACACACCACTTTGTTTTCAACCCAGGAGATATGTTCTGACATTACAGTTCCTCTCGCTTGGCTTTCCACCAAAGGCCAGTTTTGTCAGTTACACTCAACTTAGGAATTTCTCTAGCATTTGCAGAAGAAAAACTGTGCCTCAAAAAATTTTCATATTCTATTTTGGAACAGTGAATTTATACTACCACCTATTTAAACGTTCACCTTGAACAGCTAGTGGAGACCATCTAAGGCTGTCCTGAATTAGCTATATTGAAACAAACCTTGCGTAGCTTCTCTCCACTACAATTTTATATGAAGATACCTTCCTATATGTAAAAACTTAGTTCTTTCTATATAAATATACAGTCTGTCTTGTCCACAAGTCTTAATAAAGACAGGAGTCAGCTCCCATTGACTCTTCAAGTCACTTTTAGCCTACAGAGGAAGGCCGAAATCTGAGAGCAGAAAAATATTTGGAGCACATGATTTTAAGAGAGTTACTTTATTTACTTCTGGGCAGACCCTCAGTTATTAAATAAAGCTGTATAAATCAAGTTACTGAGACGAAACGACCTACTTTTTGCTCTAGAAGAAAAAAAAGTGAAAGAAAGCAGCCAATAACCAACTGTCAGTATAATCTGATTTTACTAATCTCAGCAGCCACAAAACAACAGAACAAAACACAAACAAATCAGGAAACTTTCTGCTACTTTGCAAATTGCATGTTTAATAATACTGTTCAATTTTGCTAATAAACTAAAAGGGAGTAAAGTTTGCTTCCCAAAACAGTCTTCATTCTTTTATCTTTTGGAAGAAAACCATAAACCCTCAGGCTAGCACAGTTCCCTCAGTTCACAACTGATCAACACTGTTAGTAGCTGGGTGTATGATTTTTAATAATACTGTACCTTTTATCTTGGTCTTCTTGATTATCACTCACTTTGTTAACAGACAACAGCCTTTTATCTCTGGGAACCTGAGAACAACACCAGGCATGGGGTCAGGTAAATGCAACTGTCAGGTATTTGCAGCTTCAGACTGCTACTGCAACGACTAGAAAAATGTAACCGTATCAGTATTGTCTAGTTCACAGATGCCAGGAGCTGTTTTTCTTTGGGAGACTGATTGTGAACAGAAAGATAATTTCCAAAGTGAAAAAATGTAGGGATTGTTTTCTTTTTTAGTTCTTGGGCACACCAGTCTGGAGCAAAGCACTCTTCTGTATGTCCTTATCTTTGCAAAATCAAGCTAGGCCAAGCTATCTCAAAATCAAAGCTTATATTCCCAAGCACACACACACTTTTCATTGAATAATAAAGAGAGGAGAAGGGAGACACGATGCTTTGATGAGCTCTGCATGGAGACCCTTTTAGCTCAGAGGAAAAAGTGTTCTTGATTAAACCACAAGCGCCAGCTAAGTCCTCCTGTTAGAGAGCAGTCTGGAGGGTGCATGACTTACACCTAGGGGAACTTTGTAGATCCTTCCCTTTCCTAGCATGGAGACAGGTCAGGGCACACTGGCATGTCATCAGAGAACACTGACTTCTGCTTTGCTGAGGGCATCAACAGCCACGAGAAGTAAAAATCCCATCAAATCTGGCCCCTTGACAGACTCAGAATTGACACCAAGTGACTTAAAATATTTGTCTTCCCACAGACCGGTTTCCTGACACCAGCACAGATAGGAAATCACCAGGGACAAAGTTGCTGCCATGACCGTATTCTTCATGCTGAATCAGCAATTTGGGAGCTAAAACTTCTAATCTGTCTTTTACAAAGAAGGTACATCCACCCCATCACAGCAGTTAACTCAGGATTCAACAGTAAGAATAGACCTAAGAATGGGCTAAAGCTGTGCCTTTTATCTTTAAATACTTTAAAGAAGTATCAGGACCTATCTGAATTTAGAGGAAAAACAATACTACAGTGCAGTACAGAACATCAGCTATATCTGCAAGACAGCAACAGAGTTAGAGAGTGCTAGCCAGAGCCTTTCCTTCTCTTAGGGACTTCCTCTCTCCCTGTTAAGCATCCTGTTGGTTAAAAAACCTCATTCATATATTTCAGAAGTGGAATCCAAGCCACAGTTTGCAAATGTTGTTTCCCCTGTTAAGATCACATATCTATCCCCAAAGGAGAGTCTATGTTTAGGTAAACATCACTACTAGAAAAAGGAGAAGGAAAAAAAAATGCAGTTATGTTCAAACAATTCCTAGTACCGGAAAAAAGTACTTCAAAAAATTACCCAGCATGTCAGAACAAATGAGCCAGATGACAAATAAGGGCAATTCAAGAGAGTCTGGTGCACTGGAAGTCCTCCTCTACACTTCCACATTACAGCACAGAGGTTTAAGTTAGATTTTAAGTTCCTGTTTGAGAGCATCAACAAGAGTTATCTGTTTCTCCCAGTTTAAGACAGAAATAGTTATGATTGAATGCTGAAAATGGCTTTGAGATTAACACAGCTTATTCCATCTGAACCTCATGTCTTTTGCAACTGCCTGGAACAAGGAACAGACATGTCTCTTAGAACATAAGTTTTGAGAAGGAAAAAGGCTGTTCTCTGGTTTTGTTTTAAAAATCCAGCAGATTAATGACCTGCTACATACAAAGGTATTACTAAGGCAGAAGGCCAACACTCCAGATGTTCATACGCATCCAAATTTTACAAATGCACATTAACTTCACAGAATCTAGCACTGTGGTAACTCTGTCATGTAGAGAAAATGACCCTTCTTCTTTCTCATTAGGAAAAGCTTTTCTCTACTGACAACAACACACAAAAACAAGAAACATCTCTTGAAATATAATCAGTAAGGAAATTAAAACAATATTTAACCATAAGGTTGGTATATGGCATCTTGCCTACAACCCCTTCTCCTGAACACTCATTTAATGATCGTAGCAGAGACTAAAAAGAGCAGACCATTCTCTAAAAGCATTTATACTAATAAATGCTAAAAGCAAAGGTTTTTAACTTTAAACATCCATTCCTTCTACTTCTTCATGAATTATGAGGTGAGCTGGCATTGTTCTGCTGGTTTTCACAGAAGATCATCTGTCCAATGCAGGCATAGGTGGCTTCAGGAGTACTGAGACAGTTTAAGTGAAATGAACAATTTCATAGTCTAGTGCTTGGTGAGCAACACTGATTCCATTTGCAGAGCACAAAGGGGTTAGACTGGGTTTCAGAGTGAAATTTCTGCATTACGCAGCAATGCACCCTATAGGACTCTCCTGTGATTTCAGCAGAAATCTTGAACACAGCTCTACTTAAACACTATGAAATACGTGAAAAAGAAAGGTGGTATCAAAATGGTAAAGCCCTGGGCTTAGAACCTAACATAAACTGACACTGTGTATTGACTTAGATCTCTGTCTCTGTGTCCAGCTCCATTTCTGTCCTCCACCTTTCTATTCAGACTGCAACCTTCCAGGGCAAGGGCTAGACCTCACTAGATGTCTATATACAGCCTACTGCAATCATCATACAAATAAAAATAACATGGGAAACTGTCAAATGAGAGCTACTCCAGTTAAAGAGAAACTAAAACATGTGTGGAATGAACCAGAAGAGCAAACAAACCTACAGATGGATGAGGCCTCCCCTTTTCCACTTTTTAAAGAATACTGCAAGTATCCGAGCACAAATAAAAAGGGAGCTAATTCATCCAATGCTCTTGCAAGGGAAGAGGAAGAACGCTGTGCTCAAAAAGCAATTGTGGCTGCAAATTTAATACAGGAATTCTGATTTTGGTTTATTTGTCTGTGTATCAGAGAGAAAACAAGATGCAGTGACTTCTGGTTTTGAAAATCAGCTCTTTTGATGCTTCTTAGAGCGGTCCCCTGCTAGTGCAGCAGGGAGGAATAACGATGGAGTTACCTACTTTATAATAGTCATACAATAGGCCAAGAGCAGCAGCACTGTCCTCATCACCATTTATGCTCATCATAGCCTTGGTAGCTGCTGTTAGGGGATTCTCCAAATACGACTTCCAGGCTTCATCTTCGCTGGTGTAGGCTCGTCTGGTGTTGAATGAAGTGTCATTTGGCACTAAGGCCACAAGTCGCTTGTTACTGCATAGACAGGAAGAATAAAATGGTGATCCAGAAGGGATTACTTTATTCACAAAGCATGTTATAGAATATCACATAGCTCAAAGAAAGTGATATGACTACATCAAGCAAGCATCTCTATATTAAACTTGGTGACACAAATATTTATCAGTATTAGGTATCCTCAGTTCTTAACAAAAAAAAAAATTAAATGTGTGCAGATCTTGTGATAATAATTCAAATGTATTTTTACTAATATACAGATAGAGCTATCAAAATATTTTAAAACTATTTGGAAAAAAAGGAAGTAACAACATAAGAACATTTTGCCCCAGTATTTTTGCTAGACGTACACTTAATTAGGGAAAAATACATTCAACTGAAATCAGTTATAATAAGAAGACATGAATAAAAAAAAAAAAAAAAGTATCTAATATTAATCTAGTGTTCACCTAAACCAAGTATAGTTCAGTATTTAACAACTGAGTACACTTTATAATTGAGCTAGTCTCTGCTTCAGAATGCAATTTATAATTTCAGAGAGGCTTTCTGTAACAGGACATGAGCAATGGGTCCAGTGAACAGAGCAGAAGTCATCAACATATTTGGTCTCAACTCACTTTATCACTCACCACATCTAGTTACAGACCCATGGCAAAATACACAAGACCATTAGTAAGTGGGATTTGCAGCAGAGCAGTTTCCTCCAGCTTGGAAGTGGTACAAACTGACCAGTGCCCGTGTGTATCACGAGAGAAGCTGCTGCACCACAGCTACAGCTGAAATTTCTAGTATAATGGAAACATAAATGAAGATAATAGTCCCTGCTGTTGTAAAATGTTCAATAAACTTATGGATAAAAGAGCTACAGGAAAAAAAAAAAAACAACACAATTGCATTCCTGTTACACAAGATAGTAGGCAAACAGACTAGGCAGGGAAATAGTGGAGCGAGAGGTGTGCTGCTGAGTGCCTGTTGCAAGAGCACTGTCAAGAATCGTGGCTCAGGTTACAAGGATCACGATGAAACTTCTGACACATTAAACCTGACAAATCTGAAAGCTGCAAAGATGGCAGAATAACTCAATATACAGACTTAACTGGCAAAAATAGCAGTTATTCCCAGTGACCTTCATAAAACATTTCTTGCTACCTTCTACATAAAACCCATTCATTATTCAGCCTCCTCTTTTTGCTCTCCCCTACCTGCAGTGGCGCCAGCTCCATAGACCTAACGCAACCAGCTGCCACCGTTGCACAGAGAGTGGCAATCAAACACTGTGTCACTGAGCCTTTTATTTGATTCCAGAAATCGGATTTGATAAAAGCACAACTGAACCCACACGGTAAGTGCTGCAGGACACCACAAGTGTGTCTTGCCTGGCCCCAGGCTGCAGTGACCGCCAGGCCAGGGCTTCGTCCAGCCCCACTGCTGCCTGAGTGCAGCCTGCAAAGCGCCTGCTCCGGGGTTTGAGGGAAAGGAGAGGCGTGGTGGAGATTATCATCTCTATGGCACAGAGCACTGCTGACAAGTTTCTTTATTTGATGAAAAACAAAATAACCCATTTGGTACACAGAGCACAGTTTTATGAGCTCTGGGGGGGAACAGAGCATTTTGTAGCTTCATATCACAAAATACAGCCAACAATTACAGATCAGATTATATTTTCCTTTCATCTAAAATATCTGGGGTTTTAGAAGCTTCCTTTCTTCTCCCAGCCTTTCTGCCTGGCCTTTTGCTGTCTCTTCTAAAGATTTTCATCCTTCTCATTTCCACATACCCATTTGTGTTGTTACAGGTTTGCTTCGGCAAGTGAAGCTGAAGCAGATATTAGGAGCCCAAGGAAAACCAGAGAGAACTGCTAGGTCCACTTGCCTTTTCAATACCTTATTGTTAGCGACTCAAATCAGATTTGCAACAGCCCCGCTGTTTGTGCCAGAGGTAGCTGAGGGCCTATTCCCACTCTGGAGTAGCCAATTCTCCCTGACTCAGAGGCAATTATTCCAGGCAAGGATTCTGCTTCCTCAACAAAGCTCCCCTTCAGCTAAACCCGGGCTGTTTCACTGCATGGGCGGCTGCCCATTGCAATGCACAAAATACCGCTCGCTCTCCTTCCTGTAGCAATCTTCCCTTACAATCAATAACTGCCTTTTGTTACTCGGAGTGCTCACAGCCATGCGATAGTCGTAACTGATTTACGAGCACCAGAGGCAGACTGTGAGATGCCCTTTAAAAACACACCACTTAAAGAGTTGGGCTGTGCTTGTCTGCAGAAATGCCGGAGGGCAGGAGTCAATCTCTGCTGCTCTAACTTAGTCAAGACAATCTCAAAGCAACGAAGAGTGCTCTCCCTTAGAGGTGTTGCATGCAATTGCGTTGGGGAGAAGTTAAAGTAAAGGGGATAAATGCTCTAGGAACAGCGACTCAGTAAGTAAACAGTTGGGATGGCTGGAAAGGCACAGGTGCATAGCCCTAGAGCCTCCCCAACATCTCCCCGGAGCACATTTTCTCTAAAACCCAGGTTTTCCTGTTTAAAAACTAAATATCCATCTTCTCTGGCTTGAAAGATGGTCTGCAGCATAATCAACCGACACACTCATTGTGTTTACTTTGCAAACAGACTGAAACAATAGCACTAAGAAAAATAAAAAACTTCCTCATCACTCCCATCACTGTAATCAGCTCTGTGGGAGGTTAATGGTCAGACCTAATTATCATGATTTAACATAGTCAATCGTTTCAAAGATTATAACCAAAGCAGTCAGCCAAAACAACTGCACTTGCTTTAAGAAAACTTGTCTATTAATTAAGGTCGTTTGGATGGGAGGAAGGGTTTCTCTTAATAAATGAGAGTTGTGTGCACACACATTCCCTTTCCTTTTCCACGACCGCTGAACCTCCTGGACAATTTCAGCCAAAGGTGACAGAGGGGCAGCAAATTCCCCCATAACCAGAAGAAATAAATACTTTATAGTTTAATATATGCCAAGAACACCCAACCTCCTGAGCAAGACTCTGCACAGGCAAGCTCCCCTGATCCCATCAGGCACCATTCCATGCTTGGGCACCCCCAGCTATTCCATCTGTGTAACTGATGACAGCAGGTAGCTGCTCGGAGCAGAGTGGCTCTGGTCGTACCTGGACCATGGGGAAGACAAAGGGTGACACCTACGAGAAACGTAAGAGTTCCTACTCAAGAGAACTGCTCTGAATGCCCCACTTGTGAGAAAAGCCTCAGTTGGAGCAATTAGCAACACATCTACAAATCTTATCAAAAGCTGCAAACCCATCAGTGACCGCATTCATAGGATCATAGAATCATTAAGTTGGAATAGACCTTTGAGATCATCAAGTCCAACTGTTGACTTAACGCCACTATGCCCACTAAACCATGTCCTGAAGTGCCACATCTACACGTTTTTTGAACACCTCCAGGGACAGTGACTCTATCACTTCCCTGGGCAGCCTGTTCCAATGTTTGACTACTTTTTCGGTAAAGAAGTTTTTCTAATATCCAATGTAACCTTCCCCCAGCGCAACTTGAGGCTGTTTCCTCTTGTCCTA